GTAGAAGACAGTGAAAGCCACGAGAGCAAAAGGGGAGAAACAAGCCTTCTTTCCTGTGTGCGCAGGCTACTCGCCCTCATCAGAATTAAATGATGAACCAGCCGCAAACTCTAGATTCAGCTACCTGTGAAGAGCCCTCCCCACCATGACCACATGAGGCTTAGGGCGATATCCAGACCCAAACCGTAGCACCTGGGATCTCGGCTGTTTCTGGAGCTGAGCTACTATGAATCCAACTGCTATCAAAGTTAGTACATACGTATCTCTACAGGACCACGTCCTTAATTCTTCTGGGAAGATTCCCAGGAGAGGTACTGCGGGTCCCATGGAATCCTAGTTTTAGTTTTTTGGGAATCTCTATACTGGGTCTCTTGTGCTTGCACAGTGGTTGCAGTACTTGTCATTCTCACCCACACTGTAGGTGTCCTTTCTCCCCAGAGCCTCATCAAGATTCACTGCGCTTTGAGTCACTCTGACAGAGTGACAGTCACTCTGACCAGGTTAAGGTGGAATCTCAGAGTTGTTTCCCTCGTGGCTAAAGATGATGGACATTTTCCCATGCACCTATTGGTCATTTATACTTCTTTTGAGACATATCTATTTAGTTCATTTGCCCATTTGTGTGTGTGTATGTGTGTGTGTGTGTGTGTGTGTGTGTGTGTGTGTTTGTGTGTTTGAGACAGGCTTTCACTGCACAGTTTAGGCTGGTCTTGAACTCAATTTTGTAGCCTAGGCTGGTCTCAAAGTTGCAGCAATCCTCCTGCCTCAGCTTCCAAAGTGCTGGGATCACGGCTGTACACCACCATGCCTGGCCCATTTGCCCATTTTTTTGATTGGGTCATTTGTTTTTCAGGGTTAATGTTTTTTTGGTATTGGGGGTCAAACTGCCTTGAGCTTGGCAGGCAGACATTTATGCCACTGAGCTAAATGCCTTGAGTTCTTTATATATTACAGATTTTAGTCCTCTACCAAAAGAGTAGCTTGCAATGTTTTCCAATTCTGTAGTCTGTCTTTTCACTCTATTTCCTTTGCTATGCAAAGCCTTTTTATTTGATGAAATTTCATTTGTAGATTCTTTTTTTTTTTTTCTTTTTCTTTTTTATCGGTACCGGGGATGGAACTCATGACTGCCTGCTTGTAAGGTTGGTTTTTATGCCGCTGAGCTAAATCCCCAGCCCCCTCATTTGTAGATTCTTGATATTATTTACTGTGCTATTGGAGTTCTAGAAAGAAAATATTTGCCTATGCCTGTGGCTTCAAAATTTCCCTCTATGTTACCTGTCAGCAGTTTCAGAGTTTCTGTTTTTATATATAGGTGTATGACCCATTTTGATTTTATTTTAATACAGAATGAGAGATGGGGATCTAGTTTCAATCTTTTGCATGTGGATAAACAGGGTTTCTAGCCCCATTTGTGTGGTTTGAGACAAGTTTTTGCTATGTAATTTTAGCCAGTCTTGAACTCCCTATGTAGCCCAGGCTGGCCTGGAATTCATGGTCATCCTCCTGTTTCAGCCTCCTAAGTACTGGGATTTCAAGCATGCTCTGCCATGCCTGGCTTTAGCAACATTTGCTAAAGAGGCTGTCTTTTTTCCATTTGTGTTTTTTGCCCCTGTGTCAAAATTCAGTTAGGTGTAGGTGTGTGAGGTTGTTTCTGTACTTTCTGTTCTATTCCATGAGTCTATGTGTCTACTTTCGGGTTAGGGTCACACTGTTTTTGTTACTATAGCTTTGTAGTAGAATTTTAAACCTGGTAGTATGATGCCTCCTGCTTTGATTTTTTGCACAAGATGGCTTTGGTTACTTTAGCTCTCTTCTGGTTTTATATGAATTTTAGAATTGTTCTTTCTAGTTATGTGAAGAATGTTGTTTATATTTTAACAGGGATTGCATAAACCTACTGAATGTTTTTGGTAATGTGGCCATCTTAGCAATGTTAATTTTGCTGATCCATTCTCTGAGTTTACTGAACAGAAAGATTTGCACTGGTATTGTTAGGACAGTTGAATACAGATGTTCTCTGGGTGAATGACTTGGGATGACAGTGCACAGTGTGCGTATCACTGTTACCCCCGACTGATGCGCTTTGAAATTATGTAGTAGTTTTTTTTCTTCTTTTTTCTCTTTATTTTTATCTTTGAATAAAAGATTTGAAAAATCTTTTCTTTTGCTTATCCAAAAACAAGGGATGTCTTCCCATTTTCCACTGTCTTCTTTAGTTTCCTTCTTTATACATCTGTAATTTTCATCATCGACACCTTTCACCTCCTTGGGTAGGGTGACTCATAGTGTTTTTTTTCTTTAAACTGTCATGAATGAAGATCTTTTCCTGGTTCCTTTCTTGGTGGATTTATTGTTGGCATGTAGAAATACTATTTATGTGTTGATTTTGTATCCTGCCACTCCGCTGAATTTGATTATCAGATCTAGAAGTCTTCTACCAGAGGTGTTTTGGAGGGTCTTCTATGTAAATAATTATATCACCTGCAAAGAAGAATGGTTTGACTTCTTCTTTCCATTCTGTTCTTTTTATTTCTTTCTCTTGCCCGCTTGCTCTCACTAAAGTTTTCAGACACATATACCGACTAGGGCTGTCAAGTGCGGACACCCTCTCTTATTCCATTTAAGGAAAAGCTTTCAGTTTTCCCCACTTAGTATGGCGTTGGTTGTGGCCTTGTCATATATATATGTGTCTTGTACCAGTTAAAGGTAAAGTCTTTCTCTTCACTTATTTTCATCAGGGTATTTTTCATTTTTTAATCATGAAAGGATGTTGGATTTTGTCAAAGGCTTTTCTGCATCTCTTTAGATGATCATGATTTTTATGCTTGGTTCTATTTACATAATGTATTATAGCTATTGATTTATTGTGTCAAATCATCCTCCATCATTGAGATGAAGTCAACTTGGTAGTCATGCATGTTCTTTTTAATGAGTTGTGGGTTCTGTTTGTAAATGTCCTATTGAGCATTTTTGCATCTATGTTCATCAAGGGTACTGGCCTACAGTTTTCTTTTTTTTATTGAGTCCAAATCCAATTTTGCTAGCTGTAGCATCACAAAACCTCATAGCCTCAGATTCATGGTGATCCTCCTGCCTCAGCTTCCCAAGTGCTGGATTTGGAAACCTTTCTTCCCTTTCAGTTACGTGGAAGAGTACTGTCATTAGTTCTTTGAAGTCTGAGTGGAGGCCAGGGTTATAGCTCAGCCTGGTAAGCACTAAGACCTGAGTTTGATTTCTGGTACCAACACAAAGAAATATAAGTTTGGGCAAAATTCAATGGTTTGTAGAATTTTAATTACTGTATGTCATGGCTTGTGTCTAGATTCCCCCCCCCCAACTAAAGTTTCATGTGGTCATAGGTGGGGTTTTTCAGAGGTGGCTGGGTCTAAAGTGTGTGATGTCGGGATAAAGTGGGTATGATCACTAAATTAGCCCACTGACTGATTTGGTGTAGATTTGAGTGTGGATAATGGGAAGGCCCAGCCTGTGTTTAAAGCATATGACTTAGGTAGAGTATAAGGGACAGAAAGGGGGCTGCTGTCCTAATTTGCTTTTTGATACTTTGCCTTTGTTGCCTTCTGCCCGCCAAGACTACTTCTCCTCTGTGATGCCCCTCTGCCAGCACCCTGCCCTGGAGCCAGCACACTATGAATTGAGACCTCTACACACTGCGAAACTACAATACATCTCTCCTCCTTTAACTCTGGGTGTCAGGTATTTTGTCTCAGCAATGATGAAAGTAATTAAGACACTGCATTTATTTATGTATATATTTACTTATTTTTAAAAATTGTATCAATTGGGCTGGGGATTTAGCTCAGTGGCATAAGCGCCTGCTTTGCAAGCATGCAGTCGTTTCCCTGGTACCGATTAAAAAAATATATCAATTTAATTACTTGTTATGAACAATTCTGGAGTTTTGTACCTTTCTGATTCAATTTTGGTAAGTCATATGTGTCTAGAAATTTATCTATTTCTTCTAGATTCTTCAACTTACTAGAACATAAGTTTTCAAGATAGTTTGTAAATTTTGCTCTTTATTTTTGAGACAAGGCTTCCTTAAGTTGCCCAGGGCAGCTTCAAACCTTTGATCTTCCTGCCTCAACTTCTGCTAGATAGGGTAGTAGGCAGGCACCACCGTGCCCAGACTAACCAGTTTTAAATCCAATCACATTAGCAGTGTGCATTCTTTCACATTCACTATTGATTGAGCATTTTTACTTTTTACAATTTGTACTGAGATTTAATGAATAATCAGAGGAATCCTATGCTTGAAAGATTCTAATAAATTTAAACAAAAACAAACAAAAAGTCCTAGATCCTCTCTGCTCAGGCCACTATGGCTTCAGGGCACTAGGCAGAGGCCATGGGGAAAGAGCAGGGAAGGCCAAGCAGGAGGCCGCCCTGAGCACCCACAGCCCATTCCCCAGGGGAAGCGCTGCCTTCCGAGGAGTTCCAGTTTGTCGTCTCAGTGGAAATCGCACTGCCCCTGTGGCCCTGCTGGAAGAGGAGCCTGCAACAGGGGAGTAGGTCACTAGGGGCACTGGTCATTCTAGGTGAGCCCAGCTCCTCTGGCTTCCTCTTTCATGCTCACCTCTGGCCACAGTTCTTACTGCAATACAGGACAACATCCATGCCAGGTGCAGCCTCTGCGCTTGGACTTCCTTCCTAGCCTTTAAAACTTTGGGCCTCAATAAGCTTCTTTTTGAAAAATAAATTATTCACTCTCATGTACTTTTTCTCTCTTTTTTTTCCACCTACTCTCTTGAAGCAACAGAAAATAGGTTGAGACACAGGGTCTAAAGACCTCACAGCCACCACTGACAGTGCTGGGCAGCGCCCTGCCCTCAGGCTCACACTCTGTCCAGGAGTCTGAAGAAGTCCCCTGGGCTTTAGTTTCAGCAGGCTGCTCTCCCTGGGAGCCGTCTTCTGTGAGCACTTCCCACGCCCTTGCAGTAGGAAGTCCAGAAGGAGACACAGTCTTATTGTTCTCTTACCTTGATGCTGTTTTTCTCCAGCAGGTTGCACACTCTGGCACCTGAAGAAAAGAAGAAAAGTAAATGATTAAACAGAGCACTGGGGGCGGGCTGTGAGCCCAGCAAGCCTGGACTGGGCTGAGTGATCTGCAGTGTGACTGCTGAAAAGGGCTTTTCCTTCTCGCACAGCCTGCTGATGCCTCTGCGCTGGCAGAAGCCCTGGTGTTCTTTCCACGCTGGCCCAAAACCTTGTAAACAATTCACTCGTCTCCATTAATATAGCTGGATTAATTTGATATTTATTTGGCAGATACTTATGGAATATCTACTGCATGCCAGGCACTGTCATAGAGCGCTAGAGATACAGCAGTGGACAAAACTACCTGCCCTGTGCAGTCTGGGGTCTATTAAGAGGCACCAATAACTAACTCAGGAAAGACACTGCACATACAGTAGTCCGATACGGTGAGTGCCACGGAGAAAGCAAAGCAGCAGAAGTAGGGGAAGGGGAGGGTCAGCACAGAGTGGAGAAGCTATTTTTTGTTTTAATTTGTTTTATGGTTTTAAGACAGGGTCTTGCTGTGTAGTGTAGGCCTTGAACATGAGTTCAAGGTGATCTTCCTGCCTCAGCCTCCTGAATGATGGAATTACAGGGTTTTTTTTTTTTTGTTTTTTTGTTTTTTTTTTTTTTGGCTTTTTCCTTTTTATCGGTACCAGGGATCGAACTCACCACTACCTGCTTGCAAGGCAGGCGCTTATGCCGCTGAGCTAAATCCCCAGCCCCTGGAATTACAGGTATTGATACCATATCCAGCCTGCTTAAAATTTTCAAACAATTTTTTTTGGTTTTCAAAATTCTAACTAGTGAGTCTGACGAAGCAAGGCAAGAGATCTAAAAATGTAAGCTGTGAAGTGAGCCCAAGGACAGTATATGGAGGAGCTGAGATGTGGCCAGATTCTAGAAACAGCCAACAGGGTTTTCTGATGGATTAGAGGAAATAGTGGGGTGAAGGAGGACTACAGGATCTGGGCCTGGGCACCTGGGAGGATGGGGCTGTGATTTCTGAACCCTGATGTCTGCAGAGGGAGCACATCTGGGAGGAAGCTAAGGCACCCAGCCTGGGGCACAGTAACTGTGAGCCGTCTTGTAGTACACGCGGCTGGACATGTGTCTGCAGTCCGGGGAGCTGCAGAACTGAAGATTTGCAAGGCCAGCGGGGAGGTCTTACAGGCCATCGCGCAGGATGGTGTCACTGTCAGAGTGGACATCCACAGCTCAGCAGGAGAGTGGGAAGGACTTGCAAGTACAACACTGGGGCCCAGGGAGTGACCCACAGGACTGAGAAGTAACAAGTGGATTCGGCCTCCTGGAGTTGTCTGCTCCCGGTCGGAGCAGATTCAGCAGCATGGCTGGGGAGGACACTTGCATGGGGAAGGAAGCTGAGGCTGTGAGTGGGGCTGGGGTGGGGACAGGGACACACACAGGTATCTGGCGGCAGTGCAGGGCCGGACACAGAGGGGACAGTGATCCTGAGACCAGTGGGCTCCACGTTCCTCAAATGTGAAAGGCAGAGCACGAAGCTGGCTCACCTGCGCCTGGCAGTGACAGCTCCTATTGCTGGTGCTGAGCCAGGGCCTCCTGGCGGCCATGCTTTATCCATTTCTGGCCTCACAAGCCAGCTCTCCCTCCGTCCGTTCCTGGGACGCTATTCCCCTTTCTCATGGCCACACGCTTGCAGTGTGGGTGGCCAAGCAGTGTGACCTGACCCGAGCCCGTGCCCTGACAGGAAGTGGCAGGGAGCAGGATAATGCGGTCCTGTCCTCAGGGAGCAGTCCTCTGATGAAGGAGACGGATAGCCACCAAGCGGACAGACAAGCAGACGGCCAGTGCAGATGCCTGCAAGCACTACAGGGCAGTGCTATGGGGAGCGGGGGCCCTGGGTCAGCCGGGCTGGACAGTAAGGGGAGATGACACTTGGGCAGGCCTGGGCCACTGGTTCCCAAGCCGGCCCTGCACCTCTGCTCCCAAGCTTTCCAGTGACTTCTGTGGCCTCTGCCTTCCAGGAACAAAGCTGGAGCCGGGCTGTCGAGGTAAAGAACCAAAAAGTAAACCTCTGTCTACACACTGTGAGATCTTTTCCCCTGCCATGATTACAAAGGACGTGCACTTTCACTGCCGGGGATTTGGAAACATGGAAAACAGAAAGATCAGTTACAACTCTACCACTCAGCGATAACCGCAACTGCGGGTCCTTCTGGACATTTTCTATGCATATATACATGTACTTTTATTTATATATTTTTTATAAATGTATTTTTAAAAACTAAGGTCACATGCATTGTGTTTTGTGACCTGAATTTTGACAGGCTTATTATAAAGTGTTCTTCTCAGGTCATTTTCTTCTACATGATGATGTTTAGTGGTTACACAGTGTTTCATTATGAGGTTTCTGCAGTACTTAAATCCCTAACATTGGCCAGTTATATTGTTTCCTACGATTGCTACTGTAAGAAAATTCTCTGATGAGCAATCATATCTTTTTTCTTTTTTTTTTTCATTTTTATCGGTACCGGGAATCGAACTCACGACCGCCTGCTTGCAAGGCAGGTACTTATGCCGCTGAGCTAAATCCCCAGCCCCCCATATCTTTTTTCTTGATGCAGAGTGTGAAGGCTGTGATCTTAGCTTGCTTCCTTTTTTTTTTTCTTCAATACTAGGGATTGAACCCAAGGCCTTGCTCCTGCCGCGTCAGTGCTGTTCCACTGAGCCACATCTCCAGCCCCTGCCCCACTTCTTATTTTATTTCTTTTTTTGGTATCAGGAATTGAACTCAGAACACTGTACTTGCCAGGCTGGCGTCAGGCTGCTGAGTTAAATCTCTGGCTAATAGTTTATTTCCAAGATGAGGTCTTGGTAAGTTGTCCAGGCTGACTTCAAATTTAAACCCTCCTGTCTCAGCCTTCTGAGTAGCTAGGATTATAGAAATGTCAGCCCCCACTGGGCTGCCGCTGACCTCAATGGTGGCAGTGGCCAGAGGTAGCCTGTGACTCAGCACCAGGGAGGGCAGGGCTGAGCCCAAATCATAGGGAGCCACTCAAATCTGAGGCTTATTTAGTCCTCGAAGCAGCCCTGGTCTTCGGCTCTCTTCCTCTGGGGACCCTCCCAGACCTGAGACACTCAGGGGATTCCCCTCCTCAGCCAGGAAGTGGGAGTCCCTCTCCGATCCTAGCAGGAGACCACTCCTGGCCCCTTGGGAAAATCCCTTTGGGATCGGCTCCTCCCTCCCTGGGAAAAACATCTCAGAGATCAGGAAAGGAAGCAGCCTCAGCAAGCGTCCAGGCTGCTGGCACTGGGGCCAGGGGGGAGCCAGTTCTCTACAAGTGGCAGCCCACTGGTGGGTCAGGCTTGCTCCTCAGTCCTCAAAGGCGGTGGGTGCCAGGGCTCTCCAGGAGCGGAATGTTCTGAGGGCAAACAGGCTAAGGAGGGTGTGGCAGGAAAAGTGCTAGCTTGCTAGGTTTGAGAACCAACAATAACCTGTGTCACCTCACCCTGGGGTGAGTGACCATGCTTAGAAGACAAAGTACAGCAGGGTCTGTTTTGTTTACTCTTATACCTGTAACACTCAACACATAGTAGTTGCGCAGTAAATACTGCATCAGGTCAACGTGATGAACTTTGCAAGCTTTAGTTGGTTCATCTTCAAAACGGAGGATAATAGCTGTCACTCAGGTTTGTGTGAGGACTAAATAAAACATGGGTAAAATACGTGGGTATCTGGTGTCTGACAAATACTGAAATCTGAAATCCTGGAGGGTTAAGGACCAAAGTGCCTCCTGGTAGATTCCCAGGCCTGGGCTCTGTTCTATTCTCTTGCAAAGGCGGGGAGGTGAGGAAGAAGTGGCCAATTCACAGATCCCTGAAGGAAAAGGCAGGTAGAAGTCCAGACAGGAGGCCCTTGGGGAACCAGCCGGAGGCCCTGTCTCTCTGTAGATCTTTGTGTATGTGACATCTGTGATCCCAGGGGCAACACTGGCCAGGCTGGGACAGGCAGATGGAAGGGGGGCCTTGGGCTCCTCTTACCAGTGTGAACCCTGCCAGCACAGAGACTTGGGGATCTTAGGCCCAGAGCGAGTTTTATGGCCCCAGCAGCAGGCGTGGTGGCTGCTGGCCACCTGCTGAGGAGCCAGCCTGAATCCAGCTGTGGGGCAGAGACCATAAACTCTGAGCTGACTCATTTCTGTCAGCCCAGCACGCCTCAGGTGGCTGCCCTGTGTGGTGAAGGCTGCAGGAGGGAGAATTCAGCCCCCTGCATCAGGGAGGTAGCAGGAGGAGCTGGCTAGACCTTAAGCTGGAGATGTGAAGGGCACAGGGACCAGGTAGGAGGACGTCAGTGACAAGAACCGCTTTGGTCTCCCTTCCCTTATTAAAGTGCAGACGTTTCTGGAGGGCGGTACATGGCTGATTCATCTTTCTGTCCCTACCACAACCGGTAGATTATCTTATACACTTAATATTCAGCAAGCGTGGCTTATTGGCAGTGACTGGAAGGCAGTATGCAGAATGACAGATGACAGATGGCCTAGGCTTGGGTCATCAGGAATGGGCCAGGCTGCTGATGCAGGTGTCTTTATCAGAAGAGGAACAATGACCCCTCCCTTGTACATTCAAAAAGTATGTTATATCTCCTACCAAGGCCCCGCCCAGGGGGCCAGACCTCCCTGTTTCAGCCAGAGAGAGACCACCAGAGGAATCGCCTGGGTTCAGGGGCTTCCCTGATGCCAGGAAGGGACTGGGTATTGTTGAACCATTCTTGTCCCCAGGAATCAGGGGACTCCTTAGCCCACAAGAAAGAAAACTACAGGCCAATCATCTCCTTACTGAGAAGACAGCTGCTGCTCTTGCCTGCATGGCCAGATTGGCTGAGCCTCCTCAGGTCGCCATCCCCATTCCACACCAACTGCATGGCTACAAATAATCCCCATGGTGCATACTGAAAATAATGCCTTGCTTCAATCCTTGTCTATCAGTATAAATGCCGTCTCCACTGGCAGGCTGTGAGGT